GTAATGTTTTTCTTGCAATATATCCAAACTTTAACATTAATGACATGGCATCTGTCACTATGTGTTGCCCACCTGAGATTGAGCCACAGTGTCTCGTAGATATGTTTTACCACTCTGGCTAATGATTAGAGTCGATTTATGATTATTTTATTTTATTTTATTTTTTGTCTCCCCCAAATATAATTGAAAGAAACAAAAATTAATTTGTAGGTTTCATGACCACCTCAATTTGACTGGGAATTAAACTGAGGACCTTGCATAGCCATAGGGATAATCAAGGCTTATTTTTGTGATTTGACATTATTGAAATTATTAACTTACTGAGGATTAAGTTCACTTTGAGATCCGAAAGTGATATGATGTAACCGAACCAGACAAGTGGAGTCATTTTTCTTATTGAAGATGCAGGTACTCCCTGGCTGGCATACGTTGTTTTGAATCTTTTGATCTGCTACTTGTAAATTTCCTATTATTCAACTGAGCACAGCAAATTTCACAGGTCAGTGCCAGTACCATTTACTAATCATGCTTCAGTTTCAGGATTAGTTATTTGGTGCAAAAATTAATTTCCACAGTGAGCAGTCAGTATCTCTGTTATTTTGGTGGTTATCTATTATTAAAATATACATTTTAAATATTCTGCTTCCACAAAAATTAATATTTCCACAGTGAGCAGTCAGTATCTCTGTTATTTTGGTGGTTATATATTACTAAAATGTACATTTTAAATATTCTGCTTCTGACTACACCTTGAAGTAATAATCTCTCATTTTCTATAATCTGAATCCATGTATTGTAGAATCTTTCCAGAAGGACATTGTATTTGTGTCCAGAAAATACCCTTGTGCAGAGGTTCTCGTTCTCATATCTGATGGCTTTACAACCGACCAGAAACAGCATTAGACAGAGCTTTGAAAATGAGTTAGGCAGCTAAATAACTATCTTCTGATTCAGTTACATTATTGAGTCAGGTCACTGAATCAACAATATTTAGTCCTTAATGTGTGCAGTACAGTTTCCTCATAATGTTACATAATTGAGGTAATTGAACAACTATGTCTTAATAGTTAACAAGGTTGCATAATTAAATCTAGCTTTAGCATTTGTGATACCTGTGCTGGATACTCTGTTTATAAGTCTTGTTTCTTTTATTTACAATGAGACCTGTCCAGGTTGACAAGGGAATAAAAAGGTGTTCTACGGCTGACAGATAATTTGTAAAATGGGGCATACGAGAATTGAAATCAGGACCTCCTGCACCCGAAGTGAGAATCATACCACTACACCAAATGCGTTGTTGTATTAGAAAATTGTGTTCCTTGGAGCTTGTTATTCGCTTCTTGCTTTTTCTAAACTGTTCTAGATCAGAAGAAGCTTTGATGCCAGAAGCTATAATTAACAGACAGTTCTCTAGTTTTGGACAATAAAAAATGCAAATGTGCATAGAGTTTGTGACTTGTGAAGTTTCTTTTTAAAATTGCAATTTGAGTCGTGAAAAAAAATTTCACCATGCAGGGTAATAGACTTTGGGATAATACTTGATGTGGTGTAATAATATGCAGGATGTTTTGTATGGGTGCTACTGCTTCCCTTGTCATGTATTCATACTAGTTAATATTTATGTTATCGCCTCAGCCGCAATCTGTTAATCTGGTCCTTGTTTGATCCATCTCAGTGTCTTGGAGAACTCTTTGTTCATAGGGCTGCTGCTGCTAATGCTTTCCCTTTGATGTATGCATACTTGTGTTAGAATTTTATGGTAGGGCCTTGGCCAAAATATATTGACCTTGTCCCTTTTTGATCCATCTCAGTGTCTTACAGAAGACCTCTGTTACCACTTTTGCATAATGACTGAGTTGACTTCACCTATGACATTAGGAGGCTTCCACCTGGAATACAGAATTGAGGAATGCAATTGTCATTGTAGGTACTTCAACAGAAATTCAGTGACTAGTGGAATTGTAAACGATATGATATTGGATAAGAGTAATAATACTGTAGAGGAAATTAACAATGTAATACGGAAAAGAGATATGATACCAGGCATTGAAAAAGCCTGAGATCACTCCCAGTTTTCTTTCAGAGTGCATGGATGAATGAAATAATATAATTCCCTTCTCCCTTTATCTATGGTGAGATTGCGCCACACTTATTCAAGAAATTTCCCCCCAACTTCCTCCCTCAATCAACTCACAAATTGTTAAAACAATTTCAACATAATTACAAATTCAACTCGATTAAATCTCTGGCAACATGAACTCCTCTTTCCTTGCGTGAATCAGTGACATGAGCTTCCAGTTCTTCCCCTTTAGCTTGATTTGCCCTTTTTTCTTCCTAGCATAGGTGAATTGAACCAGTGGCCTATCAGATATCTCATACTTGTTTTGCTGAAAAATGGTTGAAATAAATTAATAAAAGAATATATATTTAGGATAAATGACCACCTTAATTTGAATGGGGCATTCTGAGAATCGAACTCTGGATCTCTTGCACCAAAGCAAGAATCATACCACTAATGCCCAGTTATAGTCAATTATTTTGTCCTTGAAGCCTGTAATTTCTTGCTTTTTCTGTTTGTCAATAGATAAGGTAGGGGTATTGCCAACACTACCACCACCACTCTGGGTCTCCTTGGCTTTGGCAGTGTTTCAGATTAAAAACAAAATCTGTTCTAGTCAGCCTTTCGACTATTATGCTTCTAGAAGCACATTTCACTAAGCTCTTTGATCTATTCATCATAGGCAATCAAAGGGAGCTTTGATCTCAGAATCTACTATTAAAAGATAGTTCTCTAGTTTTGGGTGATAAAAAGTTCCTACGTGCATATGTTGTTGCGAAGTACCTGTTTTAAATTGCAGTCTGAGTCGTGAAAATATAATGATCTGTGGAAGGTAATAGAAATTAGAATAAATGCTTAATGGGTGTAGTTTTGTGAAGGATTATTTCTAGTGTTGCAGCTGCTGCTAATGCTTTCTTGAAATGTATTCATACTTTTTAATATATATGAATGATATGACCTCGGCCGTAATCTGTTGACCTTGCCCAAGTTTGATCAATCTCAATTTTTTGGAAAAGATCTGTTTACCACTCTGGCTTAATGACTGAGTTGACTTTGTATATCATCCTTGCTTTCTTGAAATGTATTCATACTTTTTAATATATATGATATGACCTTGCCCAAGTTTAATCAATCTCAATTTTTTGGAGAAGATCTATTTTACCACTCTGGCATAATGACTGACTTTGTATGTCATCCTTGTTTCACTGAAATTTAGTAGAAAGAAAGAAAGAAAGAAAAAAAAAAAAAAAGAATTCTTAAACACCTTAATTTGATTGAGGCATTCCGAGAATCGAACTCGGGACCTCTCGCACCCAAAGCGAGAATCATACCACTAGACCAAATGCCCTTCTGTTAATTATTTTGAACCTTGGAGCTTGACACCTTGTCATTTCTTGCTTGTCTGTATCTTAGCTGTTCTAGACTGCTTTTTGAGTATTATTTTTCTAGGAGCACATTTCACAAAAGAATTTTATCTATTGATCGTAGGAAATGAAAGGGAGCCTTGATCTCAGAAGCTATATTAAATAGACAGTTTTTTAGTTTTTTGTGATAGAAAGTTGCTACATGCATATGTGTTGTGAATACCATTTTTAAATTGCAATCAGAGTCATGGAAAAATAACGAGCTATGCAATGTGTAATTTTATGAAGGATTGTTTCTAGTGCTGCTGCTGCTTTTTCTTCACGTGTATTTGTACTTATTAATATTTAGCCTGAGTTTGATCCATCTCAGTGTCTTGGAGAAGATTTGTTTTACGATTCTAGCATAATGATTGAGTTGATTTCATTTATGATATTTCACACAAAATTTAGTTGGAAAAAAAAAATTAAAAATAAAAAATAAAGGTAGGATTGATGATCACCTAAATTTGACTGGGTATTCGGAAAATCGAACTCGGGAGTTGCCTCTAAAGCAAGAATCGCTTTTTGGACACTCAGCTAATTCTTTACTCCACGTAAGTATAGAATGCTCTGGGTTAGCAAGTATGGAAATGAAGAAAAAACTTATGTTGCCAGTGTCACTATCACTATTATATATCTAGAATTTATATTTCCAAATTTTGGTACGAATCCATACTGTATGCATCTCAGTAGAATGAACTGCTGACAGAATTTGCTTTGGATTTTCCCCTGCAGCTGGGCAAGGATTGACAAGAAGCTGAAGGTTCACTTTTGTATTTAACAAGTCACCTTCTTGCCACACAGAAGTGCACATGTACATGCTCAAGGTTTTTTTTGGCATGATTTGACATTCTCATAATCATCTAATTGTTGTGGTGAGATCACACTATTTTTCTTATTGACGACGCAGGTAATCGCTGTCTGATATGTTTTGTTTCAGTAGCTGCTGCGTGCACGACGAGTTGCCTAGGTGAGCTTAGGGTCAACTATTATATTCGCTTGAATTTCTGTATCTTTCTAAGTTGACTGTTGTTTGTAAATTGTTTATAATAGGTCAAACCACATTTTATCCACATATTTCGTTGAACCTACAAGTACGACCCACTTATCTACCACTCATTTCTATTTATTTATAATTTAAACCATTTAAAAACAACTCCCAAGCACGTTTTAAAATATTTCCATTTTTCTACAGTGGACCATCAATGGACCTGTTATTTGCTAGAATCTTTTCAACAGTTTTGTGCTGAGGTTCCTCATAAACTTTGTATTGATGACTCCAGAGCTGATAATATCAACAATATTTAAACCTTTCAGTAGGGTAATAAATATTTTATGCTTAGAAGGCAGGCAAGTGAATTGTCAATAGATAGACCATTCAGTGGGCAGTAACTGTTTCCTCATAATGTTACATTATTGAGGCAATTGAATTGACAGTATATTATCTTTCCAGTGTGGAAACAACGGTCTTAAAAATTTTACATTAGTAAATCTAGCTTTCGCATATGCAATATCAGTCTCAGATGTAAATTTTTTTTTGTCTTGATTCTTTTATTTACAAGCAGATCTGTCCAGCTTGACTAGGAAGTAAAAAGGTGCTTTGTGGCTGACTAAAATATTGCGTAAAATGGGGCATTCTGAGAATTGAACTTCGGACCTCTTGCACCCGAAACGAGAATCATACCACTAGATCAAATGCCCTGTTGAATTTTATTACTCTGTCCCTTGGATCATGAACCTGTTTGACAAGTCTGACCTGAAGAAGGATGAACCAAATCGAACAAACCTTAGAGTTGTATGAGAATTGTAGAAGAATGGAAAAAGGGAAGCGGAGAAAGAAGGGGGAGAGAGGGAAAAAATAGATAGCCAGGAGAGAGAGTGCTGTAATTTTATTCAATAATCAAAAGGCCTCTAACAATAAAAAACCACCTTCATTCTTATACCAGAAATCCCGATGAAAATATGGAACATTACCTAATAATAATTAAGGAAAGGGAATAAAGGAAATCACTCTAAATAACTATAAAATAATTCTTATTCTAATCAATGGCAAGTCTTTCACAATTATCTTTATTGATCTCCATCATGGCCTCTCATTACATTACCTGGGATTGTTAAATGGTATAACTGGTAAGTGCTTGACAAGATATGTCATGTTTAACAATGTAACAAAAATTTGCCTTTTTTCATTTTCCCTAAACTGACTCCAAAATGCACTTCATTTCTCATTTGTTCTTCTTGGAGATTGTCAAATATGATAATTGTTTTTCCTTGTAGTTGATTTATTGAGACTTTAAGAAAAAAATTGTACAGGATTCATGATCACCTTAATTTGAATGGGGCACTCCGAGAATCGAACTCGGGATCGCACCCAAAATGAGAATCATACCACTAGACCAAATGCCCTGTTGTAGTCAATTCTTTTGCCCCTTGAAGCTTGTAATTTGCTTCTTGCTTGTCAAGTATATAAACTGTTCTGGTCTGCCTTTTGACTATTATGCTTCCAGAGAAGAGTATGTCACAAAACCCTTTGATCTATTCCCCATAGGCAATCAAAGGCAGTATTGATCTCAGAGGCTACAATTAACAGTCAACGAGGCAGTTCTCTGGTTTTGGACTATAAAAAGT